ATGAGCCAGTTTTCAATGTTCAGATCACATGGTGTGTCCACATCTGTTAGTACAGACTTTTCTTAGGAAAGGCAATGTGAAATGGCTAGGAAGTTGATCACCCAATCTGAGAACAAATGGCAGTTTCAGTTGCAAATCTTGGGCCTCTGTGTTAAGATCTTTGTAGAATGTCATATATTTCTTCATTGATCATCGTGTAGCTAGTCCTTGCGGTACATCACTTTTATCAGGGCATGTCGGAAACTTAGCGTGTCATCAGCTCTGCCACCTTATGCACCCCTATTTATGCTATATTTCAGCTTCTGAGACAAGATGCTGTTTATCAGCAAATCTTCCTCTGTGTTAAGATCTTTTAGAATGTGATATTTTTTCCTTGTCCATGATATTTTGAGACCCTTTCTACAGCATTTTAACTCAGTGTGGGATTATAGGCAGTAAATTAACGTAAAAGGACTTTTCCCCACCTATGATGCTCATGGCATATGATGCTAGACTTTTATATTTCCTGGGGTCCATGTGGGTTCCTGTGCCCTGTTGTGGGGACACCTGGGGCCTGTGTGGGTTCCTGTGCCCTGTTGTGGGGACACCTGGGACCCATGTGGGTTCCTGTGCCCTGTTGTGGGGACAAGAATAGACCCACTGCCTCCCCAAAATGCCCTAGGAGTCTACTAAAAATGGACAAACATCCATGACTTTCTGCCAGTTAACAAGGAAGGATGGGTCAACATAGGAGACATTTTATTTCAAAACCACGGCTCCTCCATATGAGAGACTAAGAAAAAACCAAAGCAAGTGTAGTTAAATAGTTTTTATGTATTGAAACCAAATCGGCAACAAATGCATAAATAAGTCTGTCAGCTGCAAGAAACAAGTGCTGATTTCCAAGACTAAAAACTACGTCATTGTAACAAATAACGCAACACTGCTGACAATTTCATCACAAGTATCCATTCATATCAACACAATGTACATTATGCTATCAGTGAGTCTAAACTTCAGTTGAGAGAAATGAATATTTTGCACTAGGTTTTTATCTTTCAACGGCCATGAGGATTCCCTCTGTTTATTTGTCATGTAGGGCTAGCAGTGTTTCTATATTACCCTCTATCCTGTGCAATCACCTCGCTAACGTGGATGGAATCCAGCCAACTGGTTTCTGTCATCGTTTGCCAGGGTTTCTTTTGGATACCTGTTTTCATTTCAGTGCTTCTTTGGTAATTCTGTCTCTTCTCAATGTGTCCAATAGCACAAAGAATTTCAGTGAAGCAAAAAGCTTGAATACTCCACCATGGAGACTCTTCCAGAATAATCTTGTGTGTGTGTTAGTTGCTGACATGCTACTCGTATCTAAACATGAACCATTTCTCATTTTCTGAGGGACAGCCTTTTTGAGATGACACCTTTAAATGGTTGCAAGGCTAACTCAGGTCTCGACTGGTTGCAGGACATTTTCTGGGAGGGGACACCACCTGTGAAGTTTAGTCCTTCAGGATATGGCACATGAACATGCTGAAACAATTTAATTCCAGGATTGGCACTAACTTTAGGCAATACAACACAGTATAAGTGGAAAATAGTAATGACTAAGACTATCTTCAATAAGATTATGACAAATATTGACAGCCAGTGAGGTAAAACACCAAATTAACAATTAGAATCGTCAAATGTTATGTGCACTGAATTGTGCTGTATGGTGCAGAAACTTGAACAATAAACAGGCAACTAGAAAATCAAACTGACCCTCTAGAAATGTGGATATACTGAGTCAGTCATATTTCATGAAAGCACAAAACAATCAAATACAGAGGTTCTGGAAAGACTGAAATGAAAACACCACACTGGAGGGAAAGGTCGAGAACAAGAGGTAGACAATGTTACATGTTGGAGGATGAACAGCAGCCAGAAAGAGTATACAACCAAGAAAGAGAGTGCTGGATATCCACTACAAGCAATCTTAATTGTGGAGATAATCAGACCAGGGTTTAGGTAATGTAACTTTCAGCTACTGTACTTGTATTCTCAGACAGTGACACCATATTTCAGGTTCTCTGTCAGGCCTCATGACTCAGAAGACATGACTCCCCGCTGTTTACAGCTACAGCACCTCACACTTTACTCAATGCTCACCACATGACTGACTAATGTGCATTCCTGTCGTTTACAGCTACAGCACCTCACACTTCACTCAATGCTCACCACATGACTGACTAATGTGCATTCCTGCCGTTTACAGCACCTCACACTTCACTCAATACTCACCACATGACTGACTAATGTGCATTCCTGCCGTTTACAGCACCTCACACTTCACTCAATACTCACCACATGACTGACTAATGTGCATTCCTGCCGTTTACAGCACCTCACACTTCACTCAATACTCACCACATGACTGACTAATGTGCATTCCTGCCGTTTACAGCACCTCACACTTCACTCAATGCTCACCACATGACTGACTAATGTGCATTCCTGCCGTTTACAGCACCTCACACTTCACTCAATGCTCACCACATGACTGACTAATGTGCATTCCTGTCGTTTACAACTACAGCACCTCACACTTCACTCAATGCTCACCACATGACTGACTAATGTGCATTCCTGTCGTTTACAGCTACAGCACCTCACACTTCACTCAATGCTCACCACATGACTGACTAATGTGCATTCCTGTCGTTTACAGCTACAGCATCTCACACTTCACTCAATGCTCACCACATGACTGACTAATGTGCATTCCTGTCGTTTACAGCTACAGCATCTCACACTTCACTCAATGCTCACCACATGACTGACTAATGTGCATTCCTGTCGTTTACAACTACAGCACCTCACACTTCACTCAATGCTCACCACATGACTGACTAATGTGCATTCCTGCCGTTTACAGCTACAGCATCTCACACTTCACTCAATGCTCACCACATGACCGACTAATGTGCATTCCTGTCGTTTACAACTACAGCACCTCACACTTCACTCAATGCTCACCACATGACTGACTAATGTGCATTCCTGTCGTTTACAACACCTCACACTTCACTCAATGCTCACACATGACTGACTACATTCCTGCCGTTTACAGCACCTCACACTTCACTCAATGCTCACCACATGACTGACTAATGTGCATTCCTGTCGTTTACAACACCTCACACTTCACTCAATGCTCACCACATGACTGACTAATGTGCATTCCTGCCGTTTACAGCACCTCACACTTCACTCAATGCTCACCACATGACCGACTAATGTGCATTCCTGCCGTTTACAGCTACAGCATCTCACACTTCACTCAATGCTCACCACATGACCGACTAATGTGCATTCCTGTCGTTTACAACTACAACACCTCACACTTCACTCAATGCTCACCACATGACTGACTAATGTGCATTCCTGTCGTTTACAACTACAGCACCTCACACTTCACTCAATGCTCACCACATGACTGACTAATGTGCATTCCTGTCGTTTACAACACCTCACACTTCACTCAATGCTCACCACATGACCGACTAATGTGCATTCCTGTCGTTTACAACACCTCACACTTCACTCAATGCTCACCACATGACTGACTAATGTGCATTCCTGTCATTTACAGCACCTCACACTCTCACTCAATGCTCACCACATGACCGACTAATGTGCAGAGACCATTTGATTTCTTACATCATTAACGGGTGTGAATATACATGTACTAGTTTATTCATCACTCTGCTAACTTGTTTGAAAATAAAAGGTACAGAGGGGAATTTATTTCACATTGCTTACTTGTATAAGAATAAAAGGTAGAACAAGTTTCTACTCACATCGCTAACTTGTGTGATAATAAAAGGTATAGTTGCCAGGTTGGTCCTTACATTGCTATACAAATACAAACATAAAATGCAAGATGTGCATATGTACCTAGTGTGTTCTTATCTGTGAAGCACGAGTCTAAAGATTGCAGAAACTATTAACACATCATGCAGCATGATAATATGGCACATCTGAGAAGATTGGATAACACCCGGACTATTGAAGTAAATAAACAGCTTTATTTTATAAATGACATCTTGCCAATATTTCAGTAATAAGAAACATAATAAATATGAACATATACATGTTAAAACATTTCACAAAATAACAGAATGTAAAATTAAAAGTCTATCTGATCGTTTCCTTACACAAAACAAATCATGCCAGTATCATATTCATTGAGATTAACTCTTGATGAGGTAAACTAACAAATCACAGGACGGATCTAACTCTAGGCTCAGACAAGTTACAGTAGGCATACGTCTCCCTGTGTGCCATTTAGGGTGTCTGGAAAGCAGAGCAGGAGGTCTACTACACCCTTATAAGCATGTTGCAAAAAGGCAACTAATTAGGGATTTTCTGATAATGGATGTGTTGGGTTGATAAGTGCAGATATGACAGCTAAGCTGTACACCACAGCATGCCAACTGTTCTTTTCAGGACAGATGTAGAAAAACATGACTTAGTCCAGCCTTTTTTATGTCTGGAATAAATTTAGAAGATGCCATTATTTAAAAAAAAAAAATACCATAACTTAAATACAATCTTCTTTTGCAGTTTTAATAATTATAAACTCTTTTTTTGTGTGACTTGATGGGAGAGTCCACGTCAGATCTGCTGGGGGAAAATGAGAGGTCAGCAAGTTAATGTCATAAAAAGAGTTATTTCTTTCGGAGTCAGAGTGCATCTGCCTGAAAGGCGAGGAGCCTGTAGTAAACAGTAAAATGGATGTGCACACAAAAACTCAAGTTCTGAAACATGACGAAAGTCCAGAAGTGGACGAACTACCACAGCTTTCCACTAGAGTTAACAGCCTGTAAACATCAAGAAGACATTATTTTGAAGAAAATGATACCAGCATACTGTTGTATTTCTGACTCTACAATAATCTCCTATCAATTACAGAAACAATCAACTCAACAAAAATGAAAAGGCAGTGGGTCAGAATACCAACAAAAAGAAGTTTCTTTTTGCTAGGAATATCTGGTGTCTCCCAGATCCTTGATATTTGCAGCACAGGCCTTGAGTTGTTGAACCAGATCACACAGTCGAAGTATGGGTCCCTCCACAACGCTGACCACTTTGGTCAGCTGGTCGGTGCTCATGTTAAGCAAGGTTCTTCCATCGATATTCTGAGGATGAGAGAGGCATTAATATCTAAACAAAGAATGTTTTTAAAAAAAAATTTTAAATAAGAGCTGATCACAGCATCCTGGGTAATAATCTACATTTTATTAGATGGCCAGTTCCGCCCTGTCACAGCAATCAACTGACATTACATAACTGAACGAATAAAGCAGACAGTTTTAGGTTATTACTTTTGTCTGGCTTGAAAATGACACTATTTCCATATTAAGTTAAGGACCCTTTTCCAGACTACAGAGGTAGACCTATATTCCATGGAATAATCAGCCTTTACTTCTCCAGTCTTTACCTGATAACTTGAGGCTGAGTCAACGTGGGACCTTTATTGGAACACAATATTGTGATGGAAAAGTAGTTTAAAGAGAACGGTGCAGAGACAGAAAGAGAACATCATGGTCTGAAGAGAATGGTGCAGATACATCTGCTGCTGAAGATGTGGACGGAACACTTATGGGAGTGTGCCTTACTGTCAGGTCTGAACTAATCAACATTAACCCAAAGCAGCCTGCAGCTGAACTGGATCAAGTATGTAGGAATTATGAAACAGCTTTCATAAAAACCGAGCAACGGTGACAACACAAGTTGGCAAAAATAAAATAAAAATTACATTGCTTATATTATAAATGAAGATGCTAGCAAAGCAATTTGCAGCAGAGCTGAACCTAGTTAGTCAGAATTATGAAACTACATTGATAACCCACAAGCAACAGATGCTGACAGGGAAACAAAACAACACAGAAAATCACAAACGACTCACCTTGTTAATGAAGATACTAGCATACACTCCACAGCCATTCACTTTCAGAACATCAGCAACATCAGAGAGGCTCCACTTGATAAGGTGTAACCCCCGCAGGCGAGACGAAAGCGTTAACACAATCACCCCAGCGCCGGCCTCTTCAGTGATGTCTATGTCATCCAGTGATGAAGACACAATGCGGTTAGACCTGGAGTCCATGGAGATCCTGTCCAGGTTCATCGTGTGTACCGGTCTTGATGCCTTCTCCGAAAGGATGCTGCTGCTAGTCATGCTGGAGCTCGACAAGGTGGGCTTCAATGGAGTGTCAGCTTTCAAGCGCTCAGCTAGCTCCTGGGAGAATCCTTGTGGGATTTTACCCAGTGGGCTCAGAATTGGAGGGTTGACATCAGAACCTGACAAGAGACTACTGCTGAAGTCCTCAGTCTTGACTGAAATTGGAAAGATTTTTCTTTGAGACACAAGCATTCAAATAAGAATGAATCAAGAGTTGAGATCACTATACTCAGCACGTTCCTACGCGTGCTGTTTTCTTCCACAGATACCATCAAAGAATTCCTAAATTATTAGTGCCAGTTCCAACCTGATTAAAAGCCAACAATCAAAAATATCCACCCCCCCACCACTCTTTTCTGGGTCTTTAGTTAGGGTATGGATACTCTTGTCAGTTGCGCTATATACTTTATCCCAGAGGACTAAATGTATTAAGAGGGGGTTACATCTTTTCTTTGTGTTTCCACTTTAATCACAGTTATCAAATGTCCTGCATGCTAAAAGATGTATAAGTTATACTTTTTATTTGTGTTCACTGGCTTTAAACTCTGGCAGAAAATTCTGGTTGTTTGTCCACCTCTGGACTGTAGTCTCGTACCAGAACCTGAGTTTTGTGTGCACATCCATTTTACAGATCTGACTTAGTTGTAATTAGACTGTTGGTTCCTTGCCTCTCGGGCAGCTGCACTCAGACTTCAAAGATGCCCCCCAGTTAATCGACTCTTACTACATACTTGCTGGGGAGGCAGTGGATCTACTCTTGATCTCCTCCACAACGACGCTCTGGAACCCACACAGGGATGTTAGGTATACCATGCTAGCTAGCCTCATGAAGAAGAGTTTTGTAGTGGTCATCTCAATGTCCCAGAACAGTTACTGGTACCCAGTGTGGACTGGGACAAACTGTCAGCCAGGGGTGTATTTGGCAGGAACACAAAACACTAGTGGGGGAAAAGTGTTAATTGTTGTTTCACTTCTAACCTGCACATAAAAGACATAAACTCTTATAAAAGCATTAGTGGAAGGAAAGTTTGCAGCAAGAGATTCACAGGTATACAAGTGGAAAAAATGGGGGGGAGGAGGGAGGGAGATGATAAAATCTGATGATGGATGCACAGCAGTCACAGAAAGAAAGGATAAGATCCAGAGATGGTTGCACAGTCACAGAAAGGAAGGATAAGATCCAGAGATGGATGCACAGTCACAGAAAGAAAGGATAAGATCCAGAGATGGATCAGAGTGGTGTAACCACACTCCTCACAAAACACACACAATACTTGAACGCACCTGTGACTGGCCTTCCCTCAATGTCTGACTCTAACAGAGGAGGAAGGTTTGCCGCTACGGTCTCCGATGACAGCATTCTGTGAGGTGGGAAAGTAAGATCACTCTGTTTCGCTGCCGCAGAGGTGGTGGCCACAGCGGCAGGTGAGTATCTGCTGCTGCCTGCGCTGGTCACAATGTTGTACAATGTGGAGGATTTTGTTGGATCTTTGGATTTCTTCAGTGAGCCACAGCTCCTTTCTGTAAACATGCAGGAGACAATGGAAACCCAACACTTAACAAAATGTGACAATTATCAGCTTTCAATAAACATAGTTTTCTCCACCATTCTGTGAGAAAATGTATACCAGAAGGCCAGTAGCCTTTACAAAAGCCATCATGCAGTCCAAATCTCCCTGTGTACTATATAACTTTGTCTTCACTGAGGTTAGGACAGACCAGACTGCTTCTCTGCAGGCAGCAAACAGTTGACAGTGTTGGAGCACATGCTCAGTATTTTCTGGTGCCACGTTGCAGGAACACATCTCCGTGTTTCCTACACTGAAAAATGTGAACATATGTTGACAAAGTCTATAGTGCCGCCTTTAGTCTAAATATTTTACATTTGCCCTTTCTAGTGAAGTGATGGTGCAAGCCTTAGGTAGAAAACTGAGTGTGTGTATCTAGCTACCTTTCTTGGATACAACAGTTTAAATTTAACTATCGTCAAACATCACAGACATGTAACTGCCTTTGATCCCCAGTTAATTTCCTGGTAACTATTTTAGGCCAGTCTGACCTAGGAGATGGCAAATGTTAAAAATCCACATTGACACAGATTTGGAAGCTAATACTTGATAATTTTTTACAAAAGCAGGTCACTGCACAACCAAACTCCCTAAATGGACTCAATGACTATGCTCTGGAAAAGCAGAGATGGGCTGAGTCCAAAGACAGTTGCTGGTGTCTCTGAGGCTGATAAAGGTCAATTTCATTTTTGTGCCAGGGCATGTATGGAACTGAATAAGCTGATAGGCTGTGAAGAGTGGACGAGCAATGGGCCAGGCTGATATACTGAATGCTCAATGAGAAGTCAGATATTTGTGAGAACAAAGTGACCATGAATCTGCAACCATGACCAAACAGCAAGTTACAAGGGGTGTGGCTAGCCAAGAGCACTATGCTGGAAGCCAAAGGGTTGATTCCAAACAAAGCAGAGACACACCAGTGGATGATATCACAACTGAAAGTAGTGACGACGAGGATGGACTTAATAAATGAGGTGATGTAGGCACATTGGAAAAAAGAAGTGGGCGTGATGCATGAGATCAGAAAATTTCTACAACTGAAAATGCTGTTTGGAAATGGAGAAAGGCTGCTCAAAATGAAGTTGTTGAGCTCGACAATCTTTCTCAATAGGATGAACAACAAAACGCCAGCTCAGACACAACTGAGCTTTTCCCCCTGACACTGCCATAGATCTGATCACAAGTGAAGTCACTAGGTAGGGTGAACATCACCACTCTCAGCACACAGGAAGTCATCATCATGTGCCCTGCCAACTGGCGTAGGCACTCACGATCCCTGGAACAGCTCTCTTGATGATATCCCTCCATGCCATTGTTTCAGCTCATCAAACATCATCTATCTTGGTCTGCCTCTACCCCTTTTTTCACTAATCTTTCCAGTTGTCACGATGTTCTCTAATGTCTCTCTTCTAATTATGTGGCCAAAGAACAGTGTTTGTTTATTTATTATTGTTGCTAATATACTTTCACAAGCTTTTTTCAAGCAATCATTGTTAGTTCTGGCCGTCCAAGGTATTCGTAACATTCGTCTCAGAAACCACATCTCTGTTGCTTCCAAATTCTTAATTTACACAGGAGGTGCCAAGTATAAAATTTTTTCCTGGTATCACACTGATGCAGTTGAAATTTCTGCATTTAAAGGCCTTCAGACTGTTATGGAAATGTGTTGTAAACCAGCAACTTCAGTGTAAGAAATTTTGGCTGAATGACACAGAATATTTGAAGGCCAAGAGTGGGAACAAATACCAACCGTTCCAGGGAGATTATCATTTTAACAATACTGATGTCAGAACTGAACAAAGGAAGGAGTTTAGACTTCAACTGCAGGTACTTTTATACTCAAGCATTCATATATACTCACTGTAAGTAACATATAAACACAATACACTCAAAAAATTTAGACTGCAGGTACTTTTATACTCAAGCATTCATATATACTCACTGTAAGTAACATATAAACACAATACACTCAGAAAAATTAAAAACTGTTTTCGCTTTATTAAAATTCTTGATAGCCTTTAAACCCTCGCACTGACAACTCAGATCCGACCAGTAAGCGATAAATACAGGCAGTAAACACTGACAGTTTACAATATTAAGGCTGTATAAATATCTTACTCTTTCTAGGCCCTCTGTATATCTGTGTCTTTCCTTTCCTCTTTCTCACTATCACAGGCGTTGAGTTAGGCTGGTAACTCTCTACTGAAATTAGAGAAAAAAATAAAACAGTTTCAGCTTATATGAATCAATATGAACATCATTTCAGTAAATCGAACAGCAATATTGTCAAAGGAAGCTCAGTGACTGTCCTGTGTGAGTGTCGTGCCTGTCACAGTATACATACTTGAAAAAAATCTCCTTAATAGAGCATACAAAAATCAAACTAACCATAAGGAGATGAGATATTTAGTCAAGTCATAGCATCATCAATCATTGTGTGTATTTAGACGTCACATAGGGCTCGCATTTGATACGCCCACTCCACTCTACTGCATTTAACTCTCTTGATTTCAGCGCAGCATTTTTAGCTGCTTGTAATAATGTTTTTCTTTTTCTTAGACTGTTTGTTTCCCATTTCAGTGATTGTAAGCTTGTAATTCTTTGCTCAGTTCATGATATATCTCCACCTTCTTTTTCATATTGCAATCGACACAGGTATTTTGTTCAGACATTTCTCTGATCTCACTTTTAAAAAATTCCTCCAATTTTTTGTTGATGCTTTTTCTCAAATATTTTCAACTGCATATAACTTTCTTCCCATCTTGTCGTTCAGCCTTTGCTATCCAGTATTTATTTCCAGTGGTCACACACATGTCAGAAGTTCAACTGGCCAGGCAGATATGTGATCTCTCTCAGAAATTAAGACAAAAGTGATTGTGTGTATTCCTGTAATGCGATGATGAAGGCACTCTAGCCACAACGTTCTCTTGTCACTGTGTTTGTGGTATTGTAAAGTTGATAGGTTCTACTTTGTCTTTGGTCTGATATCTTTCCATGCCAGTGTGACAACCCTTCTGCCAGTTTGTCAACCAAAAAACATGTGTTAGCACAGAGACAATGAACATTTGGTAACACTACATGATGAACTATGATAACACAAAAAGACTAGTGAAAACAAACAAACTGGACAGAAAGAACTTACATCTGGTCCGTGGACCTTCGAGGCTGTGTTTCATCACCTCACACCAGCCAACCGGGTAAATATCTGGACTCTGGCAGTCAATCCACTGATCATAGTTGTTCTCCCAGCCATCAAAGTGAATCCGCAGGAGCCTACCAACCACCTTGGTAACTGTTGCTACACAGATCAACCTGCATAAGCAGACAAACAATCCATGAATGTCAGTTAGTACTTTTCAGAGGTCAGAACTCGAGTTGTGTGACTTGGACTTGAATACGACCTAAGTCGTATATAATCAACGAACTGAGCCTCAACCTAGGGTTTTGTCCAGCGACTCCCAACTCGGCTTGCAGCTTCAATGACTTAGTATGACTCTTCACAGAAAACAAGATAGAATAAATTAAATTATGTTTCTCTTCCTCTTCTTACCGATCCCTGGATGTCAGTTCTGACAGACAGTCCTGGTTTTTCGTCTATTTGGACTTTGGCCTTGTACCAGGACCTGAGTTTTGCGCGTGTATCCGTTTTACTGACTTTTGTGTGTGCAGTTCTTGTTCCACGCCTCTCGAGCAGATGTGCTCAGACTTTGAGGGAAAATTCTGTTTTAATTTATCAAGCTTTCACATTAATCTTCATCTGCTTTTATATATAGTTAAGTGAATATAGTTAATTAACTAGTTCTATCTATAAGCACTGTCCCATGCATGACTTGATTCCTGAAATGACTTGACTTCGACATGGTTTCAATGACCTGGGACTTAACTAAGACTTGAACCAACAACCACACCTGAGCACCACCCATCTTTGGGAACAATGCAGCAGCTAGACACGGATAAGGAAGGGAGATACTTTCAGTCGGAGAAGTATGTGCACTGGGTAGTCAAATGGTACTCTGCTGTACACTTTCTCTAGGTCTAGTGCAGCTGCACATGTCTCTTGATTCATCTGAAAACCTTCACAGACTCCAGAGGTAAAAATTACTGCATTGAACCATGTCTCTTTGCTACGCCTGTATCCTCTGAGTGTGGATAGTAACCTGCCAAACTTTTCCGAGCCTCAAGAGGCCTACGAGGAAAGGGGTGATTTCTTCTGTCTGTCACTGCACCTGTCATGTTTATACCACAAGATAGATCACAAACTTAATTCCAGCCCATTCTTATGTATTGGAAATCACAACAATCCAGAGTTCGAAGGGGATAAGAGTCACAGAGATATTTTGTCTGGACTATACAGGCAAGTTTGGTAATGATCAGGCAGATAAGCTGGCTAGAGTGGCTCACTTGGGGGTGTACTGCAACGCAACTGTCATTTAAAAAAAAAATATATACACACACAAGTCCAAGCTATCCTTGTATAACAAATTCAGCAAAATTGATCAAATCCATGAAGTGCGAACTGACCTTGGCTCCATAAGATCTACAGCCTCAACCTTCATCCCTGGGCGGAAACCGTGCTTGGGAATATCCTTGGAGATAAACATAACAAACTTCAAAATATGTGTATCTACCAAAATATACTCACAAGCTTATTTAGTTGGGAACAAAAAAAAAAAACAACCAACAGTAATATCCAGACAATCAACAAGTATAGCTATTAAGTGATATTTGGCATAGACCATTGGTTGTTTTTTTTTTTTCTTCACTATGTGCAAACCTGCCAATGTTGAGTCCATTAAAAGGTTTTACATAAGTTTATTTTCACATTAGTTGTGTAATACCTGATAGGAAATATCAAGAAGGTTTTATAATGATTAAGAAAGAGCCGGCATAAACACATACCTCTGCAAGAGAAAAATTAGACAGAGTAGGCATAAACAGATATTCCAGTTAGAG